GACCAAAATCCGGTCACAACTTCATATTAATTATACGACTTCTATAAGAGGTTTCGAAAAAAAACCACGGATGTTTAGGATCAGTTTTGTGAATTTTCCACTTTTACGGATATTCCAGATTTTGCGGTGAACCATCGCCAGGTTCTATATTCCGGTCAAAATTTCAAATTCATTCTGATAAGACATCTATGAGTGCTTTCGAAAAATATGCGGTGCTTTAGGATCAGTTTTATGCATTGACCACTTTTACGGATGTTCCGGATCTTCCGGTAGACCATTCCGTGGTTCCAAGGGTTCATTTTCCGGTCACAACTCCAAATTAATTCTGATAAGACATCTATGAGTGGTTTGAAAAAAAAAAAAACTACGGAGCTACAGGGTCAGTTTCATGAATTGCGTTGTCTCCAGGGTCTATATTCCGGTCAAAACTTCGAATTAATTCACTCAAAGACGTCTTTGAGTGGTTTCAAAAAGGGTTGATGCATATATTATGTCACGCTCTAAGGGGGAGGAGGGTCTCAGATTTTGTGACAAGCAATGCATTAGATATAGTAAAAACGTCATGAAAGGGGGGAGGGGGGAGGGCTATTTTTTCTCGATTTAGCGTGACATAATTAATGCATGGGTCCAAAATATACGGTGCTTTAGGATCAGTTTCATGCATTGACCACTTTTACGGATGTTTCGGATCTTCCAGTGGACCATCCCGTAGTCCCAAGCGTCCATATTCCGGTCACAATTCTGAATTCATTCTGATGAAACGTCTATGAGAGGATTTGAAAAATTCGCGGAGCTCTAGGGTCAGTTTCATGAGTTGACCACTTTTACGGATGTTTCGCGTCTTCCAGAGGACCAGACTTCACACTTTCCGGATGCAAAAATGTCCCAAAAGGAGGTCATCTATCTTGTGAATAACTTTTCAGAAGACACAAGGAAGTTATCTCTTCAAATTACCCTACTATAAATGTCTTTCCCCAATCAGCTCTAATCCCATATGCTACGTGTTACGTGTTACGTGTGCTATTCGTTAATGCCGGATCCTATTGTGCGGTTCCTATGAACCGTAGGGGAAGTGGCTCTAATGTTGGCCTATGGATCTAAGATTGGGCCCATCGCTAAAAATCTGCTATTTATCAATTTTATCTAGTTGAACGCGTCATTGGGACGGTACTAATAGATATTTTTGGTTGCTATTGAAAATTTAGTCCATTGCTGAATTTATGTATGGACCCAAATTAGGAGCCTTTAGGCCGACATTACATCCATTTCCCCTACTATAGTAATCTCGACTGTTTCGGCCATTGTCAGCTGTGCGATTATGTTTTATCCAAAGCCTTTGAAAAGTATCACAAATAGTCTTGGTATACTTTTCAACCTCCACAGCAACTTCCGACATAATGTCTGAATCAATCGAATAGGCTTTCAGGACCTCTTTAAATACGCTGCGATTTTTATCGCCGAACTCCATCCTGCTTCTCTCCATGTTGAAAATAGATGATGTTTATCGATTTCAACAGGAATATAAGAATCATTTAAAAAATTATTCTTGACATAAATTCCAAAATATAGGCAGTCAAATTGCTATTTGTGATATTTTGCATACCGATGGAGGCCATTCCGTTACCGTTACCATCATTCCTGTACACAATAGAGCTTTCAAACTACTCAATGTCCACCCAATAATTAAAGTCGTTTTCGTTTTTGCGGTGTAGCTACACCGGTGTTACACCACCGATCGAAAAAAACAGGATGTAGCTATCGGCTTCATCTCTGTTTACAAACAAATAATGATGAGCTGTCAGCGACTCGCGCTTATTGCTACTTACACTACACCGCTGTAGTGTAGCAAAAACGAAAATGACATAAGATTTAACAATGTTATTTCTCGATGAACACTTCAAATGGTCCTATATGCTTTGATCGATTCTCTTCATCGACTTTCTCTTTTCATAACCACTGCTATGCAACAGATTTCGCGCTAATTCTACCACATAGTTTGATAAAGGAGGTTCTTATCTATAGCATCCAAAACATCAAATCAGGTATAATATTTGATAACGGCACAAAAGCATTTGTAAACAAACTTTCTAATGCCCTTTACAAGCGAACCAAAGTACGCCCACGCTAACCAATATCACTTTCGGAAAGGTGATAGTTGCATCTATCCGATGATGTTTTCTTTTCTTTCCTCTATTTAACGTCGGTCTCTGTTCCGCAATCTAGTGCCAATCACCGACGGACATCAATTGCCATCTATTGACGGCAATCGAATGTGCAGGAAGGCAGCTTCCACACTTCTTCCGAAGAAAGACGTGACCAGAGATTTTTATGCCTCAGAAAAATCCCACCGACCTCGGCTGGGATTGAACGCAGATCCATTGAGGTAATAAAGCAGTCACGCTTACCACTACACCACCGGCACCGGCTTACACGAGAATTATAATGTTTCAGCACACAGCAAGCCTGTACGTTTTTTGACGTAGGACTACGTCTGTGATTTCTATATGGGGGTACGCTTTGTGAAAAGCGACAACGGAACATGTAACAAAATTATGAAAGATTTTGAACGTGAATAACTCAGCTGCCCCTGGACCATTTTCAGTAATTTTATCACCAATCGATCCGAAAAATTTTTACGCACGTGTTAAGATTAGAATTTATCATTTTTCAAAATTTCACGAATGTGTAACTGTTGCTATGATAATTAAAATTATCTACGATTGCCTGCGAAAAGCGATTTTCCTAATATAGATTTCAAAGTTGAATTTCATCCGGTCTCACCAAACGGCGTTTATTCAATCACCGCGTTGTGAGTGGCAGTGTTCTACAGTACACAACTAAAGGGTGCCTGCAAGCAGCGAGCTGCAGCCCACATAGAAGGAAGAAGAAGCCGCACCGCTATTGATCGGAATCAGTAGCTCTTCGTGAGTCGCTGTGAGCCATCTATGCCAAGCGCCTCATTCCAAAGAGTATAAACAGAGAGAACCCCGCTCAAATTCCTCTTCCTACACAAAACACAAGCTCCTGCTGCAGTTAACAAATAATATTTATTATATAAGACCACAAAGTCCTACGTCACCATTGCGTACAACCCCTTAGGGCTGTGTCTTGTAGTTTTTTCTTCAGGAATTTACGATGATTAGGAACATATTATCAGATTAGTTTTCTTATTCGGAATAGTGTAGTATAAAGGTGCGATGAGCGAATAAAATTAATAAATAAAATAAAATTGGAAAATAATAAATTTGTTTTAATATTCAGAATAGAAAATACGGAACTATTAACAAAGTCATGTCCTTATTAATCAACTGGTACCCGACATTACTAATTATAATAATAAAAATAGCAATAATAATATTTGAACTTCCCTGATAATAAGAATATTTGAACTTCCCTAATGAGATTGAATTCCCTTCGAAATCTCTGATTGGTTGAAGTGTAAAAGCCTTCAGTTATTTAAAGAGGGTGTACTGTCCATGTGGGTCAACGGAGAGTACTCATCATGGAAAGGTTCAGAGACACCTGTCTGAGATCAAATCATCAGATCATACGTGATCTAGCACGTTAGGTTAAGTTGTACTCGTAGTTAGGTAGGTTATCACTTTTTTCAATTCAAACAAAACCCACCCCCAAAAGGGTTTTCTGTTAACTAGTTGAAAAACGCAAATAATCAATTAGAATATCAAATTAATTTTAGATGATTAATTAAAGATGAAGAACCAGGTAGACTAATCAATTAAAATGTTAAATCAATGTACTATCACAATCAATAGAAACATAATTTTACTACTACTACCATGTGGGTCATTCTTCATTCTGACGCTGAAAAGGTAGCATCTACTTCGAAAGCAGGAAGGAACAACAGCTAGATAGCCAACCGACCGAACGACGGTACCAAGGCATTCCGGCAGAACCAGCAAATCAACTAAGCAACAGCGGCAACCCACGACGAACAAGCGAGCCCTCTCCTTCTTCTGGAAGCGAGTGTCCCCAAGTGAGCCCTCTGTCGTTCGACGATAACCAAGGCAACCCGGCTGAACCAGCAAATCAACCAAGCAACTGCAGCAACGAACCGACCGAACGACGAGCAACCGAGCCCTCTGTCGACGGTAACCAAGGCAACCACCGAGTACCGATCAGCAAACACCAGCAGCCTACTACGATCGAGAACTTGGCACGGAAAGCCCTCTTATTTGAATAAGTACCGCAATCCAGCCAAATCTCGCGTAGGATGATGCCCAGTTACGACAAATAGAAATGAAATATCTGTTGCATCAAAATTGAAAAAAATGTTGATATTTTGGAAAATATAGATGGTGTCCAATCTGCCCCGGGTGTTCATAATGCCCCTAGTTCCCCTAATGTTTAGAAGTTTCTGAAATGATTTTCTGAAGCACCCTGGGGGTCATTTTTTACACGTCCTCCAACTGAGTCACCTAACATAGCTTGGAAGTGATCATAAAATAAAACGCAAACACACATTCGCTTCTCTCTTCATCGGTTTCTGTAATTTCTCAGTTAATCTTGCGCAATTAAAATAAACTATAAACTCTTGTGAGTGATTATTAAAAAAAAAAGTTATATAAAGTGGTGATAAAGTAAACTCATTTCATTGGTAGAGTAGCAAATATCATCATATTGGGTAGCAAAATAAAAAAATATTAACTAAAAGATAAAAAGTAGAAATATCAATGAATCCAAGGATTAAAGCAGGATGTAGTCCCTTAAACATAAACTGCAATATAAAGATCATCGGCTTCGGTCTAGTCATTCATGAATAAAGTTGGTGACATCGGTGTTGTTGATGTCGTTTTGGATGTTGTTGTTGTTCTCAAACTTATAGATCGTTGGTGTTAAGAAAATAGTGATTATTTTATTTTACTTGGAGTCTGGATCTTCTAGACGATGTAAATATTTAAAGCACATGGTGAACACCATTTTCTTTACCACCAAACGCGGTAGACGGTATAAGATCTCAACGGTTGTCTTCTACCTATAAGAATTGAACATGTTTTCAAAAACGTCGTTTATATATATTGGGTATGCGAATAATAATATTTGGTTTAGTTGAATATCAGTAAGCAAACGGGTTATAAGAGATAAAATATGTGAAGAAAAAATCAAACATTCTGCAATTAGCAATTATTGATATAGATTTTTTGGGATGATTGCTTCAAAAAAAAAAATCGTTTCTTAGGTTAAAGTGCGCGCTTATTTTTATAAGTTTAAGAAAAAGAAAAAAGAAATCAAATCATTTTGTTAGAATTGTCTAAGGATTTTTAACGTGTCTCTTTCTATGCGTCTACAAGGTCTAAGATATGCAAATAGCTACAGGTTATGTTTTAGAATTTCCGTTTAAAATCAGGACAAAATGGTTCTACTGTAACAACGAGGTCGTTTTGCCCCCTGTGCTCGAGTAAAATGGGTTTTCTAATAAGATTGTCGTTTGCATGTTTTCGTTTTTGTTTGTAGTCTCTCTGTTATTTCTGTTTTTTTTTTTATGAAAGCTTCTTAGAGTTAGTAAAAGGTAGTTTGAAAGTTCTTCTCGTTGGGAAAAGGATTTCCTGGAAATGAGGGAAAGGAAGGGGATTGTCTCCGTTTGGGAGGGGGATAAATAGCGGGAAAATGTATTTTTTTCATTTTGCTATTTTTTTGCAGGCAGTTTTGAGGGCGCCGGTTGCTGCGTTAAGGAGCATCTTTGAACAGTCGCCTACTCCGATCCGCCTTTGGTAGTTTTGAAAGCGTTTGACAAAAATGGTGTTAAAGCGAGTTTCCGAATTTTTTTTCGTTGTGGTATGCCGGATGCTTTAGTTGGGTTTTACAAAATTCTGGCATATTTGCTGTTAATGTAGCGCTTGGAGTGGAAATTGTACGATGTAATCTGATTACTTAGAGTGTACATAAGCTTCTTGTCATCCCGTTTCAGACCGATGTTGGTGTAGTTGTACATTGCGTCGACACTCTTTGGCGTTCTGCAATGAAAACATGATGGGGAATTAGAAATTCAATGTTAACCAAAAGTGCGAAATTAAAACTAACTTTCTCTCAGTTCGCAGGACGCGCTCGGCCCAGTATTGGGGCTTCGGTGGATCACCGGGCATTCCGCGAGCCCGTCTATCCAGATAATCTATGACGTCATCGTAGTAGTTCTGGCGGTAGTTGTACATGTAGTTGTACTGGAGGAATTTTGGGCTGAAAAAAAAACGTAAATTTCAATAGAAAGACATTTTAAACATAGTAGAATCAGCTCAACTTACCGAACCCAGTGCTTGTTCAGCACCAGCTTGCGCCGCTGGAAATCATCGACGATATCCAGTGGTTCAGCCCCGCGGGTATTTTTCACAACCACTCTGGCTGATGTTTTCTCATCATCCATGGCTACGGAGTGTTCGTTTTACCTGCGCTTATTTCTAAAAGGAAAAACAGAAATAAAAACAAACGTTAAACAATTAATTATGCATCTGTCAAAAGCTTGAGTTGCCACCATCATCGATAGGATTGCGGACGAAAATAAATCATTAAGCCAAAATGGATCGAAGAATTGCCATGGCGGCGAAGCAAACGGTGAGTGTGACCACAGCTGAATGTGACAACGGTGCAATCTAGAAATCGTAAATTTAGAATTGGAAAGAGGACATTTTCTGCATTCCTTCTTTTGTACGTCGCCGCGGTGGTGGTTCATCTATGGTGGTAAGAAGGGTGAAACTTGGACTATCGGTAACCAGCTAGGTGTAATGTGAACGCGTTCTCGTCTGGGCAATGGTTCAAAATCTTGAATAATGAGGAGAACAATCGAGGTGCCGTCCCTCGTCGCTAATTGAACGGTACGGACAGTAGCGAGTTCGAAGCAGTTCTCAGCACATTTGTTTATGTGGAGCAGGTGTGTGTCTTTAAAATATCTCGTTCGATTCAGTAGATTGAGAGCACTTCATGAGCCATACCCTGCCGTGTGCCCCCGAAGCGTAATGTAATTTAATCTTAAAACAGCTACGATAAGCATTTGCGACATGTCTGTTAGACTGATGCAAAATTGAAATTTTTGGTCCTGATTATCCTGCCAAAATTTGAACCCATTTGGTAAGAAACTGACTTGGCAGAAACCATTTGAAGTTGATATGTATATTACTATGCATCGTTTGAAAATAACGCTATATTTGGCGTAAATTTACTTGATATTTCATGTAAATTTAAGCTCGATATCACATAAACCAAGAATTTTGTATACAAGCTTGCAAACAATTTCAAAGATTATGCCAAGTTTAGCTCAAAAATAAACGAGGGAAAATTTTACGCGATGGTTAAAATTCAGATTTTTTTCTGTCTGGGAAAACACAACTTTTTATCCATGGCCGTCTAGCTATTTTCCATATTGCACTAATAAGTAGTTCTATTCTTATAGGAAATTTTCTTAGCTACAACTTTGAAGAGGCAAGGCTACCAAGACGCCGATCACATCCTTTGGTCTTGTGCTGAGCATCGTGGAGTCAGATCTGAGCTGTGCGATTCCCTTCGGGCTCGAGGTAGACAACCTAATGTTCCAGTTCGGGATATTTTGGCTAGACGTGATCTGGAATTTATGAAACTCATATAGGGTAAATGTTGGCTTCGGCACCCATTGACTGTTTTCGGCAACCAAAATTTAAACGCTAATTTCACTATGTTTTCCCATCAACGCACTTCCCTGAATGTGTCCAAACGATTGTTTAGCCTTTCAGCTTCAATCTGATTATATTTGAACGATCGAGCAATCCAGTAATGCTACATTTTTCTTCAAATAAAGCATACGCACTACAAAATGGGGTTGATTTCGAGTTGCCGATAATAGAACAGCTGGTTAACACGCAGTTCTAATGGGAAGGTTGCCGAAGAAAAAGAGACTGCCGACAATAGTCACACTCACCTGAGAAGTTTGGTGCGTTGTAAAAACGCTTTCAAAACGTTTTGAAAAATTCTGTCGATTGGAATGGATAGAGAAGCAAGCAGCAGATGAATGTAAACAAACAGACACATCATATATGTGCGTGACGCTGAGAAAATGCTAGTAGAAGTGCAGACGCTGCTTAGATTGACGAGAATACGTAAATTCCCCTATGTTTACTTGATGAATACTAAACTTAGATTGTAAGTTTGATTAACCTTGTGTTTAGTTTGTGTATTGTGCGTGTAGTTTTTTTTAATGTTTGTTTTCAAGATGAATAGAAATAAGTTCATGTTTTAGGATTAATTAAATATTTGTATAATAAATCATATTTCAAACCTCCTTCTCCCTTTCCCCATCCAAAACATTGTAAATCTCCACTAACCTCGAGACGACCGCGAGTAATCGGTTCAATTCCTTTAACTCTAGATTTAAGACATTAATCATGTATAATGCAAATGATAACTTGGCTCTGTAAAGTTTATTCGATTGAGCCTGTACAAATAAATTAATATAAAAAAAAAACAACTTTGAAGAATATTTTTCTGCCAAACGTCAATTTAAATAATTATTAATTGTTTAAGAGATTGTTAATCTAAAGGGATGATAATGCTGCTGTTTTGTGGGCAACACTGTATTCTGCACTGTTACGTATCTACACTGAACCAATATGACATATTCCTGTTATGTGGAAGTCTAATAAATTTGCGTTATTAGAAAATCCAATGAAAACGCAATGATTGAAAATGTGTCAGTTAAATTACATATGCTGATAAGCTGATAACTTGTATATACTCGTCATATGATAAATGAAAATCGGTCAAATTTTAAGAATCACCTGAAATGCATTTGAAACCCTGATTGTATGGGTTACTTTTCAGTACAATATCACATACAAACAGACGTAGCTCTTTATCCTGGATCATCGTTTGCGCATTTAACGATTGGTTTGAATGTTATCGTTTCCGCGAATTACTCGCCGCAGCGCTATCATCGGATCACTTTGACGTTTCTATTTATTCGGTATTTCTTGCAATCCGGTACTATGCGGTACTATGTTTTTAAGATAATTTTACTCAAAAAGTTACGTCTGTTTGTCTGTAAAAATATCATAACCATTTCATAAATCAATCTAATTAAAGATTATATGAAATTAAATCCTTGTTTTGACACATATATTTGATTGATTCTTAAGATAAATCTAAAAATAAGCATCACGCAGTGGGAGCTTTCACAGTTGCGTCTTTTCTAGTGTAGCTGATTTGGGATTCGATCCAAGACTGTTGAGGTGTGATGCTGTTGGTGTCTTCGCTCGGTTTCACTGGGCCACTGCTGACTTCGAGATTGAGCTCGTTCAATGAGCAAGAAGTAAGAACAATTCCCCTGCAATGAAATGGTAGTGCAACGTTGTGCTCGTTTTGCTAGAGAGATGAAAAATACCACTGACCAGTTTTATTTCGTTTCGGTGGTGTCGTGTATTCAAATATTTCAAATGTGTGCAATAAACTAATATCTACATTATACGAATTCATGGAACTGGTTAATGAATTTCCAGTTCTAGTGCTGGAATCTGGATAAGCCGTGAAGAAATATTACAATGAGAACCTGAGCAAAGTATATATTGCATTAGACTCATTTTTTCAATAAATTATTTTCCAGAGCCCCTTATCTTTTGGAACAATAAAATTCGATAACATCGTTGAAATTTATTTCAAGACTATATTCATATCAATCATATAAGATGTATTTTATTGGGAGCAATATTCATCCCATAAACCATGCCAGAAACAAATATTTGCTGTTGGATTTTATAAAAGGAAATTTTAGCCTCCCAAAATTTGAACTCATTTAGTGAGAAACTGACCTGGTACAAATCATTTGAAGTTTATATGGAAATTACCATGGGAAAACAAAACTTTTTGTTCGTTGTCTTCTAGCCGTTTTACACATTGAACTGTTAACAAATTCTATTGCTATTCTTATAGAAATTTTTATCAGCTACAACTTTGCAGGAAATCGTTTTTCAGCCAAACGGTTTATCAGCGGCCGAAACCGGTGGGGAACATTGTTGGAGACCGACTATAGAGGATGATGAATGTTTAGTGTGAGTTGCAGCATTATTTGAATTAAAGATACTAATGGGGTCTGATTAAGTCCACTTGAGCTCACTCTAGAACCTACATTTCGCATTTAGATCTATAAGTGAACTGCTGGTCTGAGTTCCTCTGGTATATTCAACTAAAGGATGCCCCTGAACATACAGTCAAACAACACGTAATGTTGTGAACAACTTCAATGACAGTTGTCCAGCAGTGCTCCCATTTTATTTGCAACAATCCGATGGCTACGAGACTGTGCCGAAGGTCTGCCGATGGATGTGCCTAAGCAGTGGCGAATCTAATTTCGGCATAATGTGCTGAGTGACTTACCCCTTGGGGTGTTTCAGAAAGTATGTATATGCACACTTTCAACTCACCGCCATTTCTACCCCGATGAAGTTTATTAGTTGTTCGTCGATGTGTGTTGTTGTTTACTAATTTCTCAACTAGTTTGTGTGCGAAAAGTGCATTTTTATATAAAATCATCAAAATGCAAATGAAACATCGAAATACGGCCGTAAACCGGGACCGGTGGACCGAAAAGTGGACCAGAAGATCACCAAGCATTCGTTAATAAGAAAAGTACCTCTGTTCGAGATTTGGCAAAAAAAATGAGAACATCGAAGATTAACATCCAACGTTCCAAGTTAAGAAACGGGCTGAAAACGTTCAAGAAACAGAAGATGCCGAAACTATAGTCGCTATGTTCATAGTCTGGCGGATAGAATTTCTATCTATCAAAAGGCGGAACCAATTTAATATATTTTAGACCAACAATTGAAAAGGTATTATCAACTTTTATAAACAAAACGATGATTATTCTTTCATCGCTAAAAGAAGATAAATTACCAGCATCATCGGATAGGGGAAATTTTCCACAACCTAAAGATGGTGTTAGTTTGTGTAGGCGAGCCTTGAGCCACGAGTAAACGGTTTCCGTAATTTTGTTCGCAACAACTGATGTGCTCTTTTCTGTTGTTAGTCGTGATTTGCTCGATTGGTTCCGCTATTTGACAGCTCAATTGGTTCCCGAGATCCACCAGACTATGAATATAACGACTATAGCCGAAACGGCTTGGCATCCGTCAAACCGAAGGCTCGGGAGCTACAGTGTATCTCAAAATTGATCGCCAAAAATTCTGATACATATATTTTTAACTTGTACTTTTAGAGCCGTTTTTGTAAAATTACAGCTGTACAGTTCATATTGAGATACACTGTATGTGATAGTCTGCTGTGTGGAAAATTGGCGTGTGTTATCATTGAATGAATTCTTATTGGATTTGAGGAGACGGATGACCATATCTCGATTTCTTTTTCGAAGGGACGTATCAGCTTTTGTAAACAATACATTTGAACTTCGGTTTGGCGTTACTGATAGATCGCACACGCA